ATTTTTATTATATTAGATATATATTGATTACTAACCATTTTGGCTATATATCAATTATAATTATAATCGATAGAACCCCACAGGGGTGATTGGCATTGATATGTATCCTCCTGGTTAATAATCGATATATATCCCCTTATAAAATTTCCCGATATAGTTCTACAACTCAACTTCTAATAAAATGGATCTCTACTGAGAATAGTGAGTAATTGAATTATCAAGACAAGAGCAAGGTTTAGCTCAATGGCAACTAAAGGCTAAGCAAAGATTTGTAAAAGCATTTAGTCTTGCAAAAGTAATGATAAATAAGGCAATCAAACTGGATTTAGATAAGAAGCTAATAACAATGCTTGAAAATTTCTATAAAAAAAAAATAAAGCCAAATCTAGATCTTAATAATATGACACACACACATTTAATAACCTTAACGAATTGAGTATTACCAATCCAAATAAAAAAAATCACCTAGAATCTGAAAATAAAAATAAACTATTCAACTCTTTAAATGAGCTTGATGATACTTGAAAGAGAAAAGATCTAGTTGTTGTTGAAAACCCATTCTAAAATGCTGAAAAGGACATTCAACAAAAGCTCAAAGGATTTTTAGTAGTATAGAAAATAATAAGAATAACCAGCAATTATCTAAAACTACGAAGCAAAGATATATTAAATATACATATTGTCAAGAAATTGGTCATAATATTAGGTGTTGCAAGACAAGGCTTGCTGATGAAGCTAATTAGGATAGAAATTTGGTTGGTATAAGATTATATATATAAGGTAGTATTTACTAGAATTAGAATTGCATAGCAAATATCTACATAGCATAGCTATATAGTATAGAAGTTCAGCATAGAATATTTGAAGTTGTAGTTTTTACTTTGAACAACTTGTATTAGCAGCAGGATAAAACCCAAATATGTTGTCATAAGATTTTATTTGTGGTTTCATGTATAAGCTAAATATTAGAATTAATATTAAAATTTTATTTAACCTGATTACTAGCTCTAATGTTGACTTCTACAAGAAGTTATATTTAGAATCTCAAGGAAACATAAATGAAACTACACAATTAAACTACTAACGCTATGTAATTAAATTTTAATTTTATTAGCATTTGAGCATACTGTTATTGTCTGTATTAATTAAAGAGTTTATATGTATTCAGAGGGTATAATATTGTCGACTATAAAATATTGCTTTATTATTTTTCAATAAACCGAATATTAATTAGTTAATATTTTGTCAACATAGGATCAAATAATACTACGTAAATACCAACATGGTAAGAAATATGATTTCTATTACTTGTTTTTAACTTAGATTTTTCCTTTTCTATGTATACTAAACTACATTTTCTTATTATGTACGTACATACGTATGTATATACATATATTATCAATTACTCTGCATTTGGGTATCACCCAATACATACATCAACATTATTATTTTATCTACCAGGTTTAAATTAAAGCCTGTTACTTATGTGATAATTATCCTTTATGATACGTGTAGCTATCTACGCAGAAAAGGCTGACTGATTGAACTAGTGCTAAATACTATACAAGTATGGGTTAATATAGTATACAAATGGCTGAGATTTCTTTTTAGTAACTTATAATACAACTGGCAGCGTGATTAATATTACTTAACTATTTTTCAAATTTTCTATTTGAATGGATACTTAAAGTGAAGTAATAAAAAAAGTTAGAGAAGTTCTTAGATTGGGAATTAGCAAGTATTATATCTAAGATAATATTGTAACAATAATAAAAATCACATTTATATAATCTATATTTAAAATATTTATTACTATATCACATGATATATGGGGTGCACAATGTGTATGGGGCACTGTTTAACAAGATTCTTAAAAAAAATAAAAAGTTCTTAAAATAAGCAATTAAATAGAAATATACTAATATTTGTAGTTATGTAGAATATAATTTTTAGTTTTATATATAGATTAAAGTATATTTTAGTTTTATTTTTTTAATTTAGTTATAGATCAATTAATTAGATTAGTTAGACTAAAATTTTTTTTTTTTTTTTTTTTTTTGAATATTAATAGTGAGACCATGTCTCTAACTTTATTAAAATTTAATTTGATTCT